ATTTTTTGTAGTGTCATATTCCATTTTGAAGGCCAGCAGAAGGCAATGACCATATTTATTGACGAGTCAAATTGAACTTCCAAGGTCATCCAAGGTCACTGCCCCCATTTATAATTCAGTTAGTCGGCGCCCTGCTTTTACTAAAGATAGATTTCTCCAATAAAAATGCCAAACAAGGCCGACAAAAAGTAACTGGACGTGTACTTGCAAGTAATGATCGAATTTCGTTTAGAAATGCGTGCGCCGCTTCAGCACGACCTCGGACGGCAAAACAAATAACTAATTGTAATAGCTGTAGCAAAAATAAAGAGCTAAGGCATTGAGAAATCCACCACAGGAATTAACTTCCATCTAAACTAGTGGATTACAAACATGTAAGAATATCAAATATGCATTACGAGAAAAACGAATATAAATAAGAATACAAATCAAAGGTTACATAAGCGGAATTCAAATCGGTATTATCAAACGGTAAGAAAATAAGCGTCAGACGTTGTAAGAAAAATCAAATTTGTTTAGGTAGAACTTTTAGTTGTAAGCTTCCTGTAGTAAGTGTTGTAAAATTCCTCCGTTAGATGACCTCCATTAATTCCCCACTTGTACGCTTTGTCCCTATTATTTTCTTTTTCACGAACCTTGACCGGATATTAATCCAGAACTGCATTCGATGTAGTCCACCGAATTAAGGGATCCATCAGTACCCCAGTTCAAAAATGAAGAAATGAAAATTGTATTCTATTCCCATGGGAGCCCGTCCGGGAAGCACTTAGGCATACCAAAAGCCCATTATGCCTACCGTCTTTCTTTCCCAACTGGGTTTAGAGCCTGTTTCTCTCAATGAAGGATATGACACTGTTTAGCCTAAGTCGGTTCACCCTCCCCGGGTACAGACAGCTGTCACCAAGGAGTTGATGATCAATGAGTCACAGTGACAGACCACATGTCATCCTGGCCTTGACAACGGAGGGAGCAATTCCTAGGGCAGGCTCGGGCCCGAAGAAGACCCCATCACTGCCTTCACTCGTCCGTCCCTTCGATCCCCCTATTCCACAGTGCGCTGACACCCAAATCAAGTGTACCCTATTAGACTCACTTGAGTTCACCTACAATCAAGCGTTTGCTGACAGGGCACTTACTTACGGTAACCTCCACGGTGGCCGTGCCCGGATCACATCCCTTCTTGCGAGGAGGGGATCGGAGCTGAGGGTTTCCTCCCAGATCTTCCCGTGCCCAAGGCTGTCTCGATCCTTCCACTCACCCCAATCGCTTGGCCCTATGGAAGCCTTCCGAGCCTCTGCCTCCATAGCTAAGTGTAAAGGCTCTAGTCCCAGAAGTGCTTCCATGACCAAGTTGGCGTGCGTTTCAAGGCTCCAGGGACTCCCAGACAGGCGAGTCTCTAGAGTGACGCTCCTAGTTCGGCGGTTTTACAGTTCCATCCCTTACTGGGCGTCTTGTAAAAGCTTGAAGGCTATTACAGACATCTTGAGAATCGAAGATCACATTGGGTTCATTGTATGCCGCCCGCGGCATGTTGGTTAGCGTCGAGGCCCGCACCCTGGCGGGACTTGCTATTGGATAAAGACACCTTTTGCCCTGACGATACTATACCCAGTTTGAATTTCATGCAATTCGGTTTATAAATGGCCGAGATGATAAAAGTTTTCCAAGTCTTCGTGCCAGATCGAAGGAACTTCTATTCTGTGGTGTGGCTACAATATTCCCTCTGCCGGTACCTTGCGTTTGAAGTTTTTACCAACACATTTGCGCTAAAATGGCGCTGCTTTTGCCATTGATTAGTATATCGCTAAAGCTATGTCCAGTTTGAATTTCATGCAAGAAATCTTAAAAGCTCACGAAACTTTCAAAGCCTTAGCTCCTAAGGGCTCTTAAACGCACTTAAGCTAGCACTTAAGAGTCTCATATAGGCTAACGCCGACACTAAGCACTTAGAAGGTTCTGAAAGCTCAAAGACTACAGGCAACCCTTAAGAGCTCTTAAAAACTTATAAGCTCCACAAGTCACCAAAGGCTTTCAACAACCTCCAAGCTCCATTTAAGGTTTTGTAGAGTTCAATGTGGTTTTGGTTTTATGGAAATCCTTAAGATCCTTTAAAAATGCTTTATGGACCACTAAGAAACTCTCGAAAAAGAGGGTTTAAGCGTTTTTTTGTGGTAATTGCAGAAGGACTTTATCGAATTATGTATTTAATGGTACATTTCCATGGTGCGTACAGTCATCACCTCACGTCAATTTGGGACGTTTTCGACATAGCACCTTAGGCAAAGTAAAACCGCGTGATTATTGTCATTATCGCTTAAGCAGAATGTTAGCCGCAAATGTCCGAATGGGAAGGTTTGGAGAGCAACTTTGGAAAAATCCAGGTAGTGGTTTCGAACGCGAAGTTTTTTCTGGAAACGTGAACGGTGTGACTTTCCCTGGTAGTGTAAGGGATAATTTTACCTTTCTTATGGGGCAAACGCCGGGAGTCAATCCACCGCTCCTTTCAAGAGCATAGGAAAACTCCCCTATATAATTGTGCATTGCCGCGCAAGCATTTTTGTCACGTACAGTGAAGAGTCTGGTGTAGATCCTTTCATCCAGAGTCGATTCGATATCCAGTATAAGCTAAAAGGATCCAAGGAGTTAGAATTTTTCAAGGGGGTGGGTTTTATTTACCCCGACGGTTTCGTCTATAGCTTTCGGAAACGCGACGTTGTAGTCTAAATATTGTCGCTTCCCTTCATTGCGTATGTCGAAAACGAATCCAGACACATTCTTTTCATCGCAATTTTCCATTTTCTTGAGAAAGAAGTTGGTGTAAGTAAATTGATGTGCCATTTTAAAGGCATGCATGAGAAGAAACAACAAATTCAACCGCATAGCTCTACTGCTGTTGCTATAGTCTATAATCGTATCATCGGATTCTGCGGTTCAGTGACGTCCACCGTGTCATTAAAATGCGATTAACCTTACATTAGTGGATTTTATCAGTTAATTGCGATACTTTGGGATTGTGGATGAGGACTCTTACAGATTCGTTTTAAATATCCTTAACTTTTCCTGTTGTAATATGTTATAATAGACTTTACTCGATTTGAATTTTGCACATACCAACTTTTCTTCCGCTTTTGCAACAAGCCGTTGAATGGACGGTGTATTATCTTTTTTAACCTAGGTCATTTTATTTACAAAGACAGTGATTTTTATAAGCAAACGTCAAGTTTCACGGCAATCATAGATTTACGAATAACAGGCCCACTTAATTAGACATGTATTGTGTTCGGCATTTGGATGTCTTAAATAGTCTTAAGATACCTTTAAGGATTTCTCCATCCCTTTTAACTTTTAAGAATTTAAAGTTGGTTTCTTAAGAGCGTCCAAGAATTCATAAGAGCTTCTGATATACTTCAGTTTTACCTAAAGGATTTCAAGGGTCTCCAAGAAACTTCATGGGTCTTCTAGAAGCTTTGAGAGCGTTTCATTGGTTTTTAAAAGTACGCACAACCTACAAGGGTACTTAAAAGAGCTTTTGGGTTTTTTAAAGTTTTTTAAAACATTTAAGTGTCCTTAATGGTATTTGGTTTTTTTTTTGAAAAAAGCTTCCAATAATATGAAAGTCCTCCAAAAGTTTTTGAAATTCTTAAGATTCGCTTTCTTCTTTTTATTAACCCAGCCCTTAAGAGCTTACCATCGAACCAAAACTATTTTAAAGGTTTAAACAGTCTGCAGTGACATCAAGGAACACGAGCGTTATGGGTCTTTAAAAGCCGTTGCGAGCCTTTGTCAGTGTGTTTTAACGGCTTTTGAGTTTATAAGAGCCTTTGCACATTTTTATAGTTCTGTAAGGCATTTAAGGTTCTTTACCGGCATTATAGCTCAGTGGTAGAGCGTTGGGGTATAAATCCGGAGGTCGGGTGTTCGAACCTGGTTTGAGGTGAATTTTTCATCTGTGAATTTCCTTAGATCAGTTTCGAGCATTCTGCCGGCTACTCCGAATTAGGTTTTCCTGCAGTTTTCCTAATTCGTAAGGTAAATACCGGAGTAGTATAGAACAACTTAAGACCTTCTGCAGGGGCACCTCTAAAAAGCATTATGCGGGTCACTCTGAAATTGGGCGTAAGCCTGTTGAGGGCCTAGAACAAGAGGGACAATAAATAAATAAATAAATTTAGTGATTGGATACAGTGTCCAAGAGCCTGCAACTGCCCCATAGTAACACTTGACAGTCTCTTTCTTTAAGAGCCATTGTAAGTATTTGTAAAGAGTATTATAGGGATGATTAAATTTTAATGAGCCTTCAATGATACCTAAGACCGTTTAAGGGTCCGGCCCTATTAGCCCTCTAAGGGGCTTTAAAGGTCTGTACGGTATTTTAAAAACTTTGAGAATATTTAAGAATTTTTGAAAATCCCCGAGTCTCCGAGAAACTCCAGGGGTGTCTCTAGATGCTTTGGGAGTGTTCTATTGACTTTTATAGCGTCTAAGAGCCTTTTTTCTTATATTTCTCTAAAGTTATCTGTAAAAAGGAAAACCCAAAAAAGGGAACCTTCTTGCCCCAAAACCGGACTTTAAATAGTTAATAATAGCTTTCAAAGGCCTCTTGAAAGATCTAGAGGCCTTTTCTGGCCTTTAAGTTCCCAGGGACTCCCAAAGCAAGGTGGCCCTTAAAAGCTTTTTTAAAGACCTGTACAGTTAAAATGATTAAATGATGATGATGATTTGGTACTTTTCAGAATTGTAGTAACGTTAGTAACTACATATAAAAACAGTAAACCGTAAACGGTAAACGACAAACGGTAAACGGTAAACGGTAAAAGGTAAAAGGTAAAAGGTAAAAGGTAAAAGGTAAAAGGTAAAAGGTAAAAGGTAAAAGGTAAAAGGTAAAAGGTAAAAGGTAAAAGGTAAAAGGTAAAAGGTAAACGGTAAATGCAAGTGTTGGCGAGTTCAATGTGTTTTTAATTTCAAAGTTCTTAAGAACCTTTAAAATGTTATGGGCCTTTTGGACCTTATACGAGCCTTTAAAAGTATTTCATAGGATTTAAGGTCTTTTTGTGGTAATTGTGATGGCAAAGAGACGTTATCGAAGCATGTCCTTAAAGGTACATTTAGCAATTATCATCGCAAGTTAGTGTAAGTTAATTTAGAACGTTTTCGACATACAATTTCATGCAAAATAAAACAGCGTCGTTATTTTCACTATCACGTAAGGTGGTAGTAATCCGCAAATGTCCAAATGGAAAAGTTTGGAGGGCAACCTTTGAAAAATCCAGGTAGTGGTTTCGAATGCGAAGCCTTTTCTGAAAAAGTGAACAGTGTAAGTTTCCCTGGTAGTGTAAGGGATAATTTTACCTTTCTTATGGGGCAAACGCCGGGAGTCAATCCACCGCTCCTTTCAAGAGCATAGAAAAACTCCCCTATATACTTGTGCATTGCCGCGCAAGCATTTTTGTCACGTACAGTGAAGAGTCTGGTGTAGATCCTTTCATCCAGAGTCGATTCGATGTCCAACACAAGCTAAAAGGGTTAGAGGGTTACAAGATTTTTGAAGGGTGCCTGCTCTATTTACCCTAACGGTTTCGTCGACAGGTTTCGGAATCATGATGTTACAGTCCAAAAATTGCCGCCTCCCTTCATTGCGTATATCAAAAAAGAATCCAGACACATTCTTTTCGTCACAATTTTCTATTTCCTTCAGAAAGAAGTTGGTGTAAGTAAATTGATGAGTAATTTCAAAGGCTTGCATGAGAAGAAACAACAAATTCGACCACATAGCCGTTGCTTTAGTAATGGGCGATAATCGTATCATCATCTGATTTTATGGTCGTCCACTGGGTCATTAAAATGCGATTAACCTTACATTATTAGATTCTGTATCAGCTAATTGCGAGACCTTGGGATTATGGCATTATGCCGGTCACTCAGTAATTAGGCGTTGAGGGCCTAGAACGAGAGGGACAATAAATAAATAAATTTTAAACCTTAATGCGGGCGCATTAAATGAAAAACTCAACAGAAAAAAACCTTACACTCCGAGTAGTCACATGACCCAATAATCTTATAGAATCTAGAAGCTACCTACAAGGTTTACAGAATCTTTTCAACCTCTCCACAGAATCTCTACACAGTCTACGCAAGTGCTACATAATTCTACCATTAAATAAGTAGGCTGTAAGTAATTGCCTTTGTATTACCTGCTGTTATTATAAATTCGAATTTGCAAGGCTTTTGGGAGTTTCCGTTAGCTTAATTAAAATCATTCTAGTTGTTTTATCATTTTAAAACTCCCAGAAGGGAGACTTTGAAATTCAGTTAAAAACGATCCTTATTATCAGCTTGTATGATGAGTCTTTGGGCTTTGGACTTTAAACGGCTAGCAACCTTTAACTTTAAATGGCGAGCAATGTTTGAACTTTGAACGGCGACCAACCTTTAGACTTATCACATACCTAGCATGTCATCCAAATTTTGCCTTAAGGAATTTTACAATAGTTGAGTTAGGATACCTTATTATCCATTGAACTTTGGTAACCTTGAAAGTTAAATTTGACACCACAAAAGTAGGGTCTTTGACCTCTGGTTGTTTAACAAATGAAATTTGACACCACAACGTGGGGTCTTGAACGGCGAACAACCTTTGGACTTTGAGCGGCGAGCAAAATTTGGACTTTGAATGGTGAGCAACTCCTCTCAATTGCGTAGGCGTACTTGTGCAACGCCCCACAAGAATGCAGCACGAAGATTCTTAGAAAGGTTTTCTTATCTCGTGGATGTATTCATCTAATCGCAACTTTCTATTTTCTTCAGAAGAAAATTGGTACAGGAAAAATAGTTGTTGATTTCAATGGCCCAGGTGAGCAGTAGTATCGGCCACATGCTTCGGCTATTGACTTACTAATGTCCAGATTGATTAGGTGGATTGATATCTGATTTTATGCCCGAGGGATTTCTACTGTGTCATCATCAGGTCATTAAATGAATTAGAAAGATGAAAGATTAAAGAATGCGGGTGCGTTACACAATCCAAACGGCATAACCCCGATCCGATCGTAAATGCCGGCTTCTACTGATCCTCTGGAACCATTTCCGCTTGCCAATAACTGCTTTTTAAATCCAAAGCCGTATAAAACTTGGAACCAGATAGCATGTTAGGTGTGCACACGAACCGGGATTCGAAACTGATCTAAGGTAATTCCCATCTCTGCCAAAAATTCACCTAAACCCAGGTTCGAACACCCGACCGCCGGCTTTATAGCCCAACGCTCTACCATTGAACTACAAAGTCGGTATTCTTGTCCCAGAAGAGCAACGCATAAGTACGTAAAAGCGTTTGTTAATGATAAGGAGCTTTTGAGAGACTCACGAAATCAAAAATATATTATTTCACATTTGAATATATTTACCAACACAAGTGGGTGGGAATAAGGGTTGATGGTTGAAAAAAGAGGTGTCTAATAGCAAGTAAAATACGCGCAACATTCAATTTAGAACATTGTCAATGTAGCAGGTTATGCAGAACAGAACAGCGCTGTTGGCGTCGTTATCAACCACCTTTATTGTTAAACGTAAGTGTCCAAAGGGAAAAGTCTGGAGGGAAATTTTTGAAAAATCCAAGTAGTGGTTCCGAGCGCGGTATTTTCTCTAAAATAACGAGAGGATTAAGCGCCAAAACGGCGAACCAACTTACTTTCGGTATCGGACACACACCTGGCGCTATGCCGG